AAGCAATGGAAATTGGAATAAATATTGATGATTTCACGTTGAAAATCTCACCCAGGTGTGGGTGTTCGAACCCGGCTCTCTAACCTTCCAATTCGTGAAATCCACCGAACTTCCATCCGTCCATTCAAAAGCATTTCCTTTGTTCGGATTTCTCTGAATAACGAAATTTTTATGTTTAAACATTGATATTTCGATCCGATTTTCCTTTTTTCTTCTTGAAATTATTCTAGTTTCTCAACTGAAACCATTATTTCTATCAAAGAACTATCAGTCGAACGAATCTTTTTTACAAAGAGCCTTCCGAAAGAATCTGAAAAAATGAAAGAATTACTTTCCATATATTTATTTATGTCTTTTAATAAAAAAAATCCAACCTTTAGTCCGATCCAGAACCCCCAATCCGAATTAACATTTTTCGCTGAAATAAATGTCGGTTCCTTTGGGTTTATAAAGCATAAATTTCTGCGAAAGTCATGAATATTCAGAATTGAATCATTTCGCTTTCTTACCGAGTTCCTGGACAAAATCGTTTTCTACTTGACTGTGAATGGAGACTAAATGGCTCCTTCGACTCACACAATATGTCTCGGCTTCATCGAATGTCATTTCTTGATCGAAAGCCTTAAGATGAAGATAATCCTGGTTCACAACCTCTACCAAACCTTGTACCAAGAAGCGGTTTTTGCCAAATACGACCATTCATCCGGTTCCAGGATCCAATTCATCGTTTGACTTCTGAATTTCTTCGAAAAATTTACTTCAGATTTTTAAAACGAAAACTAATCCTTTTCCTTAAAAAAACGCATAAATCTGCCCGCAACTTCGCCATTTCGGCCGTTTTGTTTTCACTTTTAAATTGTCTAGAGAGGAATTAATTGGATTGAGTGGAATGGGTGTTTTGGGAGTGAAAAAACTGTTTTCCCAAGTCTCAGGCGACAAGAGATACCAAATAAACTCACATTTGGGTTTCGAGGTCAGAGATTTTGCTCTGCAACGCGTTGATTTTCCCTTCGAGCTCTCCAATCTTGGCTTTGCCGTCTCTCACTTCCGTATTTGAGTCGCTTCTAAAAAAGTCCGATTTTTATCGATATTTTATGTTGAGCCTGTCTAAAAGGAAATTACAAAATTAGTACAATTGTGCTTCGAGATCTTCGTCCTTCCTTTTCGTCTCGGCGATTTTCCTTTCCAACTCTCGATTTATCGCCCTTTCGTCAACCAAATCAGCCTCCAACTTCGCGTTTTTCCCCATTAAATCCGTCTCAATTTGGGCCATTTTCGCGGAGATGGTCCTTGGCATTTTGGCGATTTTGGAATCTCTAAAAGTGTCTCATCCTCAGATATGTCTTTAAGGGCTCTCAAGACTCACATCTCTTTCAAATCAGCACCAATCTTCGTCGATCGATCATCACTTTGCGAAATTTTTGAGTTGATCTTTGTGAATTCATCACTTCTCTCCTTTTGTTCACATTGACTGAAAAAGATAACCTAAAATCTTCAAGATCTGTTGATTTCACCAGAGCCTAGTTCTTGTTTATTCTATTAAATTAGCTCTATTGATTGGCTTGGTTGAAAACATAGCTATTTGAAGGGAAAAGAATACGTGAATTGATCCAATTGATCGCTTTGTTGAATCGACGAAGAAATTTGATGGAAAAGGAGGTAAATCGTGATGAATACACCCATTCCGATCAATTGGTTGAATTGTTTGGAATTCGGGGGAATGGGAAGAACGAATGAGACGATTTTCTTCAACGAGATGGCCGGTTCTTCTATGCATTTGACACTCTTTTCAGGCGATTCTTCAGTCATTTCGGGCATTTCTGGAGATTTGGAAAACGAAGAGATGCTCCGAAGACATCGAGGAGGAAGATTCGAGAGATTGTCCATTTCGGTTGTTAGACGATTGGATGCCTACAAAATGACTGAATTTTCTCAGAGAACAAGTGAAAATTAAATTAAAAACTTTTTGAAATACAGTCAAGTTTATCAAAAACTCTGGGAAGAATTCATGGCTTGGTTTTTGAGAAATCACCGTGCAAACTCTTTCTATGAACTTTCTTTCCAACTTAATAGTTGTTAACTTCTCGATAACTGTATGCTATATGTTCCCGGGTCAGAATTTTCTTTAGAATTGTTTTGAGCCTTCAATGCTGTAGACCACTCGACCATGGTACTACCCGGTTTTTCCGCTTTTTACGAAAAATCACACAACTTCCTAATAAAACTAACGTCAGATTCGGAAAGAGGACCCGAAATTACATTTTCTTGCAAATTTTAAGCTCAATTGGTCGAGCCATTGACGAGAAACAGCTGTGACTCAGCATTGAGTCACGCTTGTTACTCGTTATTGACTGGATTTGATGCACTGGGTCTAGTTTCTGCTACACCAGATTTGGTGCACCTCTTGGCTCTGACAACAAATGTACTGGACCAGTTGTCAGATCTAGATATCTAACAGTCATCTTTTGTGTTCTTTTGTGTTTTTTTCTAAACATTTTTTGTACGATTTGGACAGAGGGTCATCGTTTAAAAATAGGTTTTAATGAATTCTAAATTTTTGAGTCATGTGGGCCCCTTTACCTACTTTTTGGAACGGCCGATTTTGAGGCGTTAAAAAATAGAACGACATGTCTATTAGGTTGGCGGGCAAATAATGCGAATTGTTTGTGACTCGAATTTTTATTTCAAAAAACAATAAACAAAGAGGATTACCATAAAAGGTATTCTCCATTATTATTTAGGAAATCATGCCATCTTTTGCTCAATTCAATAATTCCATCTTCAAAGAACTGGGGACTTTTTGACGAAGAATAGTTGGTGTTCGTGTGGATGTATCAGATGTGTGTGGATGTATCAGAAGTATTTCACAACTCATATAATGCAAATCTCCGTGTGTTTTTAAATTGGGCTTTCCTTCCTTTCCCTTTATTTTCCGTGATAAGAAAACTGCATTTTGCTTCGCAACAAATTTCTTCTTTGATTTTGTCTTTTCTCATCAATTTTGCTTCTTTAGTTATTTAGTCTTTTCTTTAATTTTCACTTGTTCTTCGGGAAAATTCAGTCATTTTGTAGGCATCCAATCGTCTAGCAACCGAAATGGACAATCTCTCGAATCTTCTTCCTCGATGTCTTCAGGGCATCTCTTCTTTTTCCAAATCTCCAGAAATGCCTGAGATGACTGAAGAATTGCCTGAAAAGAGTGTCAAACGCATAGAAGAACCGGCCATCTCGTTGAAGAAAATCGCCCAACTCGAAGCCGATTTGTGGGTTTTTCGCGAAATCTTTGCTGCTATCCAAAACAGTCTTTAATTTAATCGAAGAGTTTAGGGAAGAAATGAAAAAGGACAAAGAGACCGAGATGAGTCGATTGGCAGCAAATATGGTTCAGATCGAGGCGAATTTGAAAATCGCGAAGTTGGAGGCCGATTTGGTTGACTCATCAATTCTGCGTCTTTAGTAGTTCCAAGTGCCTTTATTTGTTATGCTTAACTAATTGCTCAGCTTTTCAGGTTGTTGTGAGTGCCGTTTCCAAGGAGAGCGATTTTCTCATTTTCAAATCAACTGATCAAGAGTTTCCGTCTTGATTTTTGAGAAATCACCGTGCAAACTTTCTCCGAGACTTTCTTTCCAACCTAATAGATTGAGGAAAAAATAATGCACTTTTTGAGTTTCGCTTTGGGGATTGATATTGACTTCAACCCAACACTCACAACTCGCGAGCATGCAAAAATGTTTGTTGTTGATCAGAAAACAATTGACAACCATTTGCACCAACCTGGGGAAAAAATTTGCTTTGCAAAATGAGTCCCGCACGGACTCAAGACAAAAAACAACTCGCGTCAATGTCAGTTCTTTTTGCTCTATAAATGTTCGATGATCATGCTCAAGTCAAAAAAAGCGGTCGAAAAAGGTAGTTTGGCTGCAGTTTAAGTTCAGAGGTTTGATTCAAGACAAACGTAAGTTCACAGTTACCATTTTTTTTCCACAGTTTTTTCCTCAATTCAAAGTAGTAGATTCAATCAGAGACAAGTGGGAGACGAAAATTGAATTCTCGCGAGAATTACCAAATTTTCAATCTCCAAAATGCGGTAAATTGTAAAAAGGGCATTCCACAATTGTGGAAATGGTCTTGCTAACGATATGGGAAAAATCTCAAGATATCATCCTCATTTTTGTTGATAGGATTTGTTTTGATGGGTAAGTTGAAATTGAAAAATTGGCAAAGCAAAACAAATTTAAGGCACCTATTCTTTTTGATGTACTTTTCTGGGAAGTTGGGTGGTGTTTGCTGAAAAACCGATTGGTATTCAGCACAACTTTGTCGAGAATTTTCTGACAGTACTGGAGAATGCGACAGCTGTGGTAAGGTCTTTGACAGAGAAATTGTCCAGCTTCTAACATGTTTAGACAAGAAAGCTTTCAGACATTTCCAGAAATTGACTCTGTCTAGCCAGTTCATAACTTTTAAAAGAAGAGTCGACCAAGCTGTGAAAACTAGGCCTTGCTGGGTTTAGTGTTAGTGTTGGCTTAGGTTTTAACAGCCAGCTTTCATCAAGATGCGCGCCAGTATCAAGATCAATGACAGGTTTTATAATAAAAATGAAAATTTTGCCGATTTTTACCCTAGAAATGCTTCTTCGTGAAAATATTTTTGTTTTGAAAATCCTTTTTGGCTGAATTGCCACCTGGCTTCTTTGACATTCCGACCCTTTTACTGCAAAAATGGCGAACTCTTAATAGATCTGACCGTAAAACGGCTAGTTTTAAAGGGAAATGTTTTTTTTCTAATCGATCTAAAGTCTTCAGTCATTGGTGCTTTCCCTCTTCACAACTCCTTTAGCCATCTATTCCGCTGCAACTAACGATAAATTAACACTTCCAATCAGGCAAAGATTTTCTTGTTTAAAGGATTTCTTTCTTTCAGACTACTTGCAATCGCTGAAAACTTCAATAAGTTTCTTAATGCAGTGACGGTCACAATTTCTTGTTATTGCTCAGTGATGCCAGAATTTCAGTAAGTAAATGATGAGTTGTTCTTTTAATAAACTGTCCTTTACAATATCAAGTACTGAACCTAATATTTAGGTGTCCTTATAAAATGGTTCTTTGGCTTTCACAAATCAACTCGTTTTATATTATTCGTTATGGTGTCAGCGATATGTCTCAATATTGTCAATTTTGCATCTCGTTGAGGTTGGTCATGCGGTTACTCCATTCTATTTACGGTTATTGGATCTAGTTTACAAGAAAAATGGTATTCGAACTTGACACCGATCTAACTGTAAGAGAAAGTAGCTTGGCACCAATCTAATTGGAAACCAAAGCCAGCCAGCCAGCTTACTTTGCGCTAAATTTTTTGCGGAACTGGGTCTTTTCCGCAACTCACCATAACTTTTCTCTAAGTAGGTTAATCTTTTTAAGTAGGTTAATCTAAGTCTTTTTTCCAACTGGCATCATTTGCATAAATTTGCGCAAAGTAGACACCCCCAAAGCCAGCTTCAATACGGTTTTGCAACTTTTAAGAACAGGAAAAGAAAGCAAAGGGTACGGTAATTGGGTGTGGATTAGAGTTTTACCTTGAGAAAACTGGAACTTTTACATTACCTTTAAATGACGGAAACCCATCTGATCGGTTAACAATTTCACCGATTCAGTCGTTTCTTTGCTCTTGCTTTTGACGGTGCCTATTTCCGATACTCAATGCGATTGCCTTATCTCCAAGTTCTCATACCGTACGCCCTTCGATTTGCGATCGGATATTTGGGTGAACTCTGCAAAGAACAGCTTTGTGATGGCTGGATGTACTTCTACGATCCATTCGTCGTTTACGCTCCATATTTTCTCACTTGTGCCCTCGATTTTGTTATCAGGCGCAAAATGAAAAAGGTTTGTCTTGGTGGGATGGAAAGTACTCGTAATTGTTCCGATTTGACTCAATTTTCGATTGTTAGAAGTTTTGACTAAAAAAACTTTCGAAGTACATTTCCTTGACTCATTTTAGAGCCCGATCTTTGATAATTCAGTTTCTAGAAAAAATCCGAAAACTCAATCAAGCGGATGAAGTGAAAGTAGGGAGATGCAGAGATCAAAAAGCTCGCTCTAATACGTACTCAGGGGAATCGGGAAATGGTTTTGGTCTGGTTTTGGCCTTATCTCAAAAGTTCATCAAGTTCCAAAAGCAAAGATCCTGGAAACTCAGGAATTTTTGCAAGGCCTGCAGTAAGGCCAGATTAGGCAAGCGCAAAGGCCAGGCAAGGATGTAGCTCTTAGAACCCGGCTAGAACATCTTTGGAATCAATACCAGGCAGACTGAAGCCAGGTTGGAATAGGAAAGCAATCAAGAGCATATACAGGCACGATTGAGGCAAAACCAAGACAACTGCACCAGAAAAATGGCAATGCAATTTTTGATTCAAAGCACTTTTAGCTAAAACACAGCAGCCCCGCCAGCCGAGCAGAAGTGTTGTTGATGACCCAAGTTGGTGAAGGCTTTACTTCTCTTGATCATGATCTTTAGATGATCATCAGTTCTCTGGTTACTTTCACTTACACTATTGGTTTCTATTTCGTTGGAAACGTTTCGAATTTATTTTTCAACTGGGATGTTGCCAATCTGTTGATGTCTGTTCGTGATTTCAGTCACGCTTTTCTCTTCAACCTTGTTTTGAGGTTAGTGCACAAAATCACATTTACTGTAGATTAAGCTCTTTTTAACACTTACAATGTTTATTGTAGCAGCAATCTTCTCATTTCAGTCTAATCACCGCACTTTTCCTCCGAAAACCGAAAGAAAAGCCGTTAAGGACAAGAAGTTCGATCACTGTGACTACATCAAAAGTCCATCATCCATCAAAAGGTCATTGAAACGGCATAATAGAATTGTGATACTGAACTGTGATATCTCAAACTAATATTATATCTCAATAAAGCTTTTTTTAAATAGTTGATAGAAAACAAAGATAAAAAGAAAAATCAGAAATATAAATCTTAGCTAATTACCGTATTCTTTCTAATAGTAGTGGACTTCGCGTTGCTGAGTTGATGTTGATGACCATTTTACGGTTTCGAAGTTTTCACAGAAGGCTCTGATACATCCCACATCGAAAGGCTCTGATAAACGGTTTTCTAGATTTCGAGCAACTTAGGCAACGCTCAGGGTGCACTACTATTAGAGAGGATACGGTAAGCCGGTTGTTGTTTTGAAGAAGTACCAGAAGGCTGAATAGGCTGAATTCCATAGTTCGGGGTGTGACCGGCTTCAATGTTATCATTGGGGATGATTTTGTTTCAAAAGCCGAATAGAACAAAAGGTTAAACGGGTTTCCCCAAAACCCTCACAATATAACAAGGACACGCAATATTCAGCATCAGGCCCGCTCGTGATACAAGCACACAACGGAATGACGCTTCGTCAACACAAACATTCTCAATTCTTCCTATAATATTAGATCTAAACAAAATTTAGAACCTTAAAGATAGGGGCAGAGGAAAGCCACCGATCTCAACACCGATCTCATCGCGCATCTTCGGGACGAGGTGTAATTTTGAGCTGATAAATCTATGTGATGCTAATGATACAGATAGCTAAAGGCATTGTGTCTCTTTTCTGTTGTCTCTTGAGATATCTGTTCAGGAATCGTTGAGAGGATTCTGGTACGAGAAGAGCGACCTTCACGAAGAATTGTCAGTTTCCTCATGCTGATGTCCATTGATGTTCAACACGTTTATCTAATAGTCTATTCAGGAGCGACGAGAGAGGAAAATACTTGCAGCTTCGGCAAAATTCGGGGTTTTTGGGAAAACCTTTTATATGAGATTTTGAAGAAACAATTCCGAAATAAAGAAAAAGATAATGTGCAGTTGTGTGTTTTCAGAAGGTTGAATAATGTGAGATTTATTGGTTTTTGTCCATAGAAATAGAAGAGAACATAAAGAACTCATCAGAATTGAGAGCTCCTTTTGCAGATAAAAGGATGCGGATCGGTAGGAGAGTAGGCCACCCATTTCCCATGGTCGCTCCCAAGCTGAAATGTGTCCATTTCTGATGGAAATCCTTTGATAAAACAATTTGCCTTATTTTACACAAAAAAAACTCGAAATTGATTGATCGAAATATTTTTGGATTAATCATGCATTGAAAATTGGAATAAATATTGATGATTTCACCCGGAAAATCTCACCCTAGCGTGGGTGTTCGAATCCGGGTATTGCTGATGCCAATTAACCAATTCGCGAAATCCACCGTGTCCCTTATACCAATTCGTGAAATCCACCGAACTTCCATCCGTCCATTCCAAAGCATTTCCTTTGTTCGGATTTCTCTGAATAAAGAAATTTTTATGTTTCACTCTTGGTATGTCCACCAAATTTTTTTCCTTTTTTCTTTAAAACTATTTTAGTTCTTCAATTCAAACTATGATCTTCATCAAAGAACGATTTTCCTTTCTTGTTATTACAATCATTCTAGTTTTCTAATTGAAATCATTATTTCTATAAAATAACTATCAGTCAAACGAATCATTTTTTCACTCCCGACAGCCTCCCGACAATGGCCGAAAGAATCATTACTTTCTATTTATTTATTTATGTCATTCAATAAGAAAAATTCAACCTTCAGTCCAATCCAGAACCCCCATTCCCGAACAGTTTTTGCTGAAATAACTACTGATTGTTTTTGGTTTATAAAGCATAAGTTTCTACGAAAATCCTGAATTTTCAGAATTGAATCATTTCGATTTCTTACCGAGTTTCCGAACAAAATCGTTCTCTTCCTGACTGTGAATTGAGACTAAATGGCTCTTTTGGTCTGCACAATATGCCACGGCTTGATCGAATGTCATGTATTGATCGATAACCTTGAGATGAAGATAATCCTGGTTAACAGCATCCACTAAACCTTGTACCAAGAAGCGGTTTTTGCCAAATACGACCATCCATCCCAATACAGATCCAAGAAATTCATCGTTCGATTTCTGAATTTCTTCGAAATACTTTACTTCAGACTTTTTAAACAAATAGTCAATTCTCACTTAAAGAAACTCACAAATCTGCTTGCAACTTCATAATTTCGGCCGTTTGGATTCTTTCTAATTGTCTAGAGAGGAATTGATTGGATTGATTGGCATTGGTGTTTTGGGAGTGAAAAAAATGTTTTCTCAAGGCTCAGTCTACAAGAGATACCAAATAAACTCACATTTAGGTTTCGAGGCCAGAGTTTTTGCTCTGCAACGCGTTGATTTCTTCGTCTTGCACTCCAATTCTGGCTTTTCCGTCTTTCAATTCCGTATTTTGAGCTCTTCTAAAAAGTCCGATTTTTATCGATATTTTATTTTGAGCCTGTCTAAAAGGAAATTACAAAATTAGTACAATTGTGCTTCGAGATCGTCGTTCTTCCTTTTCATCTCGGCGATTTTCCTTTCGAATTCTCGATTTCTCTCCCGTTCGTCAACCAAATCAGCCTCCAACTCTGCGATTTTCCCCATTAAATACGCCTCGATTTGAGCGATTTTGGCTACCACTCGACTCATCTCCTTTTTCATTTCTTCCCTGAACTCTTCAACTAAATCAAAGACTGTTTTTGATAGAAGCAAAGATTTGGCGAAAAACCTACAAATCGGCTTCGCGTTGGGGATTCGATAGATTGTCCATTTCGGTTGCCAGACGATTGGATGCTTACAAAATGACTGAATTTTCTCGAAAAACCAGCGAAAATTAAAGAAACAGCTACTAAAGAGGCAGAATTGATGAGAGAAGACAAAATGAAAGAAGAAATTTGTTGCCAAGCAAAATAGGGATTTCTTATCACGTAAAATAAAGGAAAAGGAGGCTTATAAAGCATTAGCTTCCACCCAATTGATATCGATCCATACATTCGAAACCGAAGCCATAAACCGAAGCCGATTCGTTTAGTGATCAGTTGTCAACCAGATACAATCAATTTCAGCGAAAACTGAAAACGAAAACTGCTACAAAACAACAATGATTTGGATTACAAAACAACAATGATTTGGACAACAACAACAATGAAACAGAATGAGGTCACTCGGTTTTCCTCAATAATTTACCAATATGCAAGGATTAGAAACCTTTTTTTTAGTGGCTATTCTTCACAGTAATGCCTTCTTCAGTCATTTTCGAAATGGCAAGCTTTTTGTGAAAAAATAATTCGTTTGACTGATAGTTCTTTGATAGAACCTAAAGTCGATTCTCGTTGATCTCTATTATAAAGGCCTTTAGACACTGTCGTCACTATGCTTCACTCATTATTTTTTCATCTTCCAATCCAATTCTTGTACGCGTTGGTGACATTTTCTTGATTCTTGACGAATTTCCATCAACAGTTGATGAGCCTTAAACAAATTCGAGTCGAGACACCTTTTCATTAAGACATTCGCTGCGATCATCTTCGGCACCCATTAAAGCTGCCTCGACTGTTTCCATTTGTTCTTTCCTGAATTGTGAAAGCTTCTTATTGTGAAGGTCATGAGTATTTACCTTATATGAGTTCAAGAAGTTCTTTATTTTTGAATCCGGCATAACGTAATGCCAATTTGTAACGTTTAATATCGATGTTTCCCGGGTAGTCGCCTCCTTCATCATCAGATTCTGCTTGCTTGAGGCACTGAGATTGTCATTAAAAGCATTGAATCGTAAGGAATACATTCACTGAAATCAACTCACCCAGATTTGCATTTTTGCCCACGGGATGTCTTGATGATGCTTGATGATTCACTAAAAATAGCTGTATGTATATGGAGATATTATAATTATTGAGTTATGATTAATTTCAGAGAAAAAATCTGAAAAACTTTTAAGGAACGAAAGGAAGAGTTTCGAAAGTGCGAATAAAATGCTTTCACATCATTGAGGGAAAAGCTTTCGAGAACGTGTACGGGAGAGGCCGGATGGACGGGCACGATGTAAGGGAAATCGAAAATTACGTCTGGTTTCTAAAGTTCCATTTCATAGGAGCGACCCCGGCATGTGGTACTCTTTTGCCCAAAAGTGACGATAACCAAGAAGAGAAAAATGTCAGAACACAGCTCAAAGTAGTTTCCTGTTTCTTATTGAATAGCAATTCGCTTAATGTACGCAAGCGGGAGACTCAAAAATGACGAAATTGATTTGCATATCGTTTAAATTAAATAGATTTTTAAGAGCCACTGGATGAACACTGAATCTGTTTGACTCACCATGTTTGTTCTGGTGAGTCCCGCGGATAATTTAATACTAATTCCTTGTTACCACCCTTCTATCAGGACCGTAAGTCCTCAAAATTTGTACTTTGTGAAATTAAGCAATACGTTTTTTTGAGGTTAGCATTAAAAAGCGTGAATTCTCGTTTACATCAGATCGGTTATATCCAAAAATTGATTGACTTACGATCTTAAACGGAAGTTTTGGATGCCATAGCTATAGCCATAGCCATAGCACTAGTGGTTTTGACAACTTCTTTTGGATTCAACATTGCCACGTTCTTGGTTGCGTTTCATATTTATTTTGTGTCAGAATGCAGTCACAATTTGTTCAAATTTATTCTCATCATAAAGCATTAGCTTCCACCCAATTGATATCGATCCATACATTCGAAACCGAAGCCATAATACGAGCAGAGCGTTTCCCCATCAGCTGACCAAGTCACGTCTTTCCTTGCACAAACTGCTTGAAAGTATTGAGTACACGTGCCCCAGTTGCCAGCTTTTTCTTGCTAAAATAATTTCCTTATAAAGAAGAAAAAAAACTAGAGCTGTTTATACAGATCTTATCATTCCCAATCCTTTTTGAAAGTTGAGATTAGCTTGAATCAAGATTTGGATTTCTTTGAGACAAAACACCTACAACACAACACTTCTGCACATTAG